TATTAATGTGAACTAAATCCAATTGAACTGAATAGGCCCAAGTAAAAGGAGATAATATTTGCTTTCGATTCAGCTGAGGAAAAAATAAGATGAGATGGATCACTCTCTCACACAAAATAACATAGATACCACTGACTCAAATTTACTGACCTTATTTTTTTTGTTTTTATACACACACTGTGTTGTATTATTAGCAACAGCAGTTAGCAACGATGTATGAACAAATGACAAAAAAATATGAGACTTAGATATTGAAGTGAACTAAATTGATCCTATTACAATCAACATTGGAAATAGTGGCAACGACAATATTGGTGGCACCGATTGTGGTAGTATTGATGAAGATGGGCCATGAGAGATTATAGCTTCATTTTTTTAGTTTTTTATTTATTGTTTTATTATCTGTTGCTTTTTGGAAATATTTATTTTTGTTTTAATTATTTAAATGATGTTTTTTTTTCATACGGTATGCATAAAATGCATGCCTCAGAAATCACCAACAGTAATTAAATGCATAGCTGCTGCATAAAAACGTTATATATAGATAATAACTGATTCGTAGGACTGACACTATTGTTTATAAAATAAGAAATTCAAGTTTTTAATTAGACATATATGAAAACTAACATTTTATTAGAAAATTCTCACTCGTTCTCTATCAACGGTAATATCAACAGACAAGTTTGTTTCGTAAAATGGAATATTCTGTAAAAATTAAACTCAAGGAAATGGTTAGAACGTGTATCTAGAAACCCGTAATGTACAATTTTTAAAATATGTAGATTATGTTCAAATACATCATACATTTCAACATCCATATTTGTTTTTCTCTTTTAATTTAAAATAGAAAATACAGCACAATTACACTCATGTAGGTACATAATTTATAAAATCTGGATAATTATTCCCCTCGCGTTTACTAATTGTCACATTTTTCTCACAATTATTTGACCGCTCCATTTCAGTCACCGGAGGCTCAATATTATCTGACTGATCCATTAAAGGCCTGCACATGCATAAGCGGTAGCGATGGCGGTGGCGGTAGCGGTGGCGGTAGCGGTGGCGGTGGCGTTTGAATGTAACATATAGAAGGAAATGGGTCAAAACATACACGTCGTGGTACGACCAGTCTCTGTATTCGAATATAACGCCACCAACACCGCTTATGTATGTGCAGGCCTTAAAACAGCATGATGCTTGTACAATGGTACTACTAGAATCTGGAGTTGAAGGGTCATTGTAAAGAATCCTGTTGGCTATTTAATTTTTGTTACAATTAAACTGTCAGCAACATAACCTTCTGTAATTGTGGCTGATTTCCACCCACCATGTCTCTTGATTGCTGATACATTAACTCCTGTATTAGCCAGTAACGTTGCCGATCTTCTTCGGAATGAATGGCCTGTATATGTTTCAGGATGTTCTATTTTCAAAAACTGTGCAATCGTATTAGAAATCACAGAAAAGGTGTTCTTGCTGACTGGTTGGTTGTAACATCTACCTACTTAATAGCGCATAAAAAAACGTGTTTCAGTTTCCAATCTAATCTTGATATATTTATTGAGAATTTCTAGGTGAGAAAAAGAACCCAGACGAGAAGTAATTATAAACGTACGTGACATACCATTTTTAGAATCAGAAATTGTAACTACAATAATTTCATCGAAATTTTTTAAATTGACGTTGTCCAAAGTAAGTTTGCATAATTCATCAGAACGATATGCTCCTGCAAGGCCTAAGACCGTCACTACCTTCATTAGCAACGAGAAAATTGTTGACTTGTTCTCTTGTAACAACGTTTGACTTTTCAGGTGTATAGCCGTCATTCTTACGTTTCAAAAATGCTCTCAGCTTGGGATATTTTGATATATCCTCGTTCTCCTCTATGAAAATAGTTCACTTAGTCATTGAGTATTCACTCCACAAAGTCGCCGGTGACTTTAAAGTTCTTGGTTTCTCCATAAAATATGCTAGCAGTGACATTTCAGGAACACCAGTATTTTTGTTCTGGCACCATTCTTTGAAATTTCTATACGTTCGTCCGTAGCGCACATTCGACTTCTCGGACAAGAAAAATTGGCAGGCAGCATTTGCTGTACTTTCTATTTGAAAATCGCTCATTTAAAAATAATAATTCAAAACCAGCAAAATTGCAACTTTTGTGTAGCTTTGTTTATAATCACCTTAGAAGAGACAAAATCCAAACAACCAAGGCGACTTTGCAAGATTTTGAATAATGTCAAAATAAATTGATTAAGAAATGTCAAAAAATAAAACCTAATCTTTATTTCAAGAACCATAAAGAACTGTGGGAACAAATAAAATGTTATACACCACGCAGCAGTTAAGTATAATTTACCAGTCTCGGACTCTATTGCCTATTGCTCGATTGGTAAATAATACTTACCTCTTTTATGGTGTAAATAACTATTTTCGCCGATAGACACTAAATTGTTGCGTTTACTGCATAGACCTTATAAACTACTAGTATACTAGGTCTATGGTTTACTGCCTAGGTATTAGAATCATTTTTACTGCCGCTAAATTAAAAATTAAAATTTTGTATTTAATGAAAATAATTTTATTTATTGCAAACATTTATAGTGAAATTAGAACAGCATGTAAAGGATATCTGTTGTCCCGTTTGTTTATTTAAAGGACCCCGCACAAACCTTATGGGAAATTCCGTTCGGTCGATTTTAATGAAATTTTGGGAATAGGTTGTTTTTGTTATGAGGAACAAAAGTCTTCATGGGCCCAAAGTTCGCTAATGGACAGTTTTCGAGATATTCGATGTTAAAAGTTTATAATACGAATGCGTGTCAAGCACGTGTTTAAATGCTTGTTAGTCGCGCAAAAGCTCCATGAAGCTTCTTAAAAACTGTATAATACGTATATATTCGTCTAGATAGTGCGTATCCATTCGTTTGTGTGTGTGCGTGTGCGTGCGCGTGCTAGTGCGTGTGGGTGTGCGCGCGTGTGTGTGTGTGTATGTATGTTAACTTAACTCTCGATCAATTATATATTTTATTTCAGTTACTAGCGTACGATTGAAAACAATCTAATCATTGTATCCAAAGTAACACCCAAGATAGAGTAGTCGAAACAACTTTAGGATCCAGTTTCTCGCCTGTTTTTAAATCAGTAATTCAAAATATGTATATATCGAAAAATAGAGTGTTTTTAAATATTATTAATATTATTCTATTAGAAAAAATATTCTTTTTTATTTAACATCGTAGTTTAGATATCCAACTGTTAGTAATCTATCGATATCGATAGCAGAGAATATTTTAATGTGAAGATATTAGAAATATTATACTATTATTTATTTAGAATGTTGAAATATATCAGTTTTTTTGGACTTATTGTCAAATAGTTCTTAATTGAAATTACTGTTCAATTACCATTCACTTGCAGTTTTTGGTGTTATACTCCCAATATTGCTTTGGTCAATTTTTCATAGGTGTGTTCATTTTATAATTAGCAGTTTAGCTTGTTGCAATATAAATGGCTTTCAGATTACAAATACAACATTATAGTTGCGATCGGGATATGGTACATTTAAATAGAGTGGTAAATGTAGATGTTTTTGGAGATATTGCTGTAAATCGCCGATATGACGCAGGTCTCCCTCCAACAATTGTTACACCTGAGAGTCGAATATGTAATAATTGCTCTATCTCCTATTCTATCTACTATTTCAATTCACGACGAATAATTTGGAAGCAATTATTACATATTCGAGTCTCGGGATTGCTGGAGGCAGACCTGCGTCATTTCGTCGATTTATAGCAATATCTCCAAAAACATCTACATTTACCATTACCACTCTATTTAAATGTACCATATTTCGCGGGGCGAAAGCCCGATCGCAACTATGACATTGTATTTGTAGTCTGAAAGCCATTTATATTGCAGCAAGCTCAACTGATAATTACAAAATGAACACACCTGTGAAAAAATGAGCAAAGCAATATTGGGAGTATAACACAGCAAAAACTGCAAGTGAATGGTAATTGAACAGTAATATCGATTAAGAACTATTTGACAATAAGTCCAACGAAACTGATATTTTTCAACATTCTCAATATTTGACGTACTCATAAATAATAGTATAATATTTCTAATATATCCACATAAAATATTCTCTGCTATGGATATCGATAGATTACTCACAGTTGGATATATAAACTACGATGTTAAATAAAGAAGAATAAGTAGGTATATTTAAAAACACGCTATTTTTCGATATATATTTTGAAATACTGATTTAAAAACACGCGAGAAACTGTATCCTAAAGTTGTTTCGACTACTGTATCTTGGGTGTTACTCTGGAGTTACTTTGGACACAATCATGCGCTAATAACTCAAATAAAATATTGATCTAGAAGAATGGCTAAGTGTACTGATTGCACGTGAATATAGAAGTATTACTATAGCATTACTCTGAGCCTCTTTGTTTATGAAAAGTATACACATACACATACGCACGCACGCACACGCACACACACACACACACAAACGAATGGATACGCCTATCTAGACGAATATATACGTATTATACAGTTTTTAAGTTTCATGGAGCTTTTACGCGACTAATAAGCATTTAAACACGTGCCTGACACGCATTCGCATTATCAACTTTTAACATCGAATATCTCGGAAACTGTCCATTAGCGAACTTTGGGCCCATAACAAAAACAACCTATTCCCAAAATTTCATTAAAATTGACCGAACGGAGTTTCCCATAAGGTTTGTGCGGGGTCCTTTATTTAAAGATCTTTAATATCCATCTAAAAAATTATGTGTTCAATTATATGGTGGTACGCCGAAGGCAGACAAACGCGCTCCATTCTAAAACGCCTATCAAAATACGCTTATAACAGAACCGTCAAGGAGAAGGGCCCATGCAAGACATCTCAATTTGTCACGAGCACAGGGCATTTCGTAGCGGCGAACAAAATAACGGTAAACAAACCAGTTTGTCACACTCACCCCTGGCAAAACAGGCACTGCAGTTTTCGGTCCAAGATTGATAGTCCTGCCGTCGGCCCTGACTAGAAGATTGAGACCTCTAGCACCTGGGAAGCCTCCTACGAAACAAGAGAAATGCGATCATTAAGCGGTTGCGGAATTCGTACTCACCAGGATAATTAGTGAATTTCCAGATATATTTTTCCAAGATTTTGAAGGTAACGTGGAAAGGTAAGAGAATTACATTGAACTGTTTGTTAAAATGTGTAATGAAAATTAAAAAAATATTTTCTGCCGATAAGAACATTTCAAACACGTTATTCTTAAGAAAATCTATCTATTTTTTATCAGAGAATCAGAGAATACGCAAAAATAGGTATCTACATTAAATTTAAATATAAAACCAAAAGAAAAGCCAATAAAGTTCTGTTATCGGAACTACTGTAACAATTTACCGCACAGGAGCGTGCCTTGAAATTTTCCGCGTTATTTTCAGAATATTAAAATATATACAGGGTATTCAAAAAGTTTGGAACTCCCTCTATCTCAGAAAATACTGCTCAAACAAAAAAATGATTGGGACAAAAATTGCTGGGTTTTGAGTGAGCAATGCAACGGTGACCTTGATCATGACCTTGAAGGTCATTTAGAGGTCAGGTTGAAAATTTTAAATGGAACCGTATACTTTTAACCCCGGAAATGGTAAGAGCGGAAAATTTTACGTTCGAATGTGACATTGACCATGACCATCAAGGTCATTTAGAGGTTTGACGTTACAGTTACCTTTAGGTCATGCTCAAAGACATGGTATAGGTCATTTTTTAATTGTACGCTCACTTAATTTCCGCAGTCAAGAATATTCGGTCATTTATTAAAAATCGACTTGATCTGAAAACGACCTTGAAGGTCATGCTCAAGGTTATATCCGAACGTAAAAATTTCCATTTTTTCCATTTCCGGGGTCAAAAATATACGGTTCCATTTAATATTCAGGTTGACCTCTAAATGACCGTGAAGGTCGTGGTCAAGGGCATGGTCAAGGTCACATTCGCTCTTACCATTTCCGGGGTCAAAAGTATACGGTTCCATTTAAACTTTTCAACTTGACCTCTCAATGACCTTCAAGGTCATGGTCAAGGTCGCCGTTGAATTGCTCACTCAAAACCCTGCAACTTTTGTCCTAATCATTTTTTTGTTTTAGATTTTCTGAGATAGAGGGGGGGTTGCAAACTTTTTGAACACCCTGTATATAAGGTACCTAAATATATAAACAAAAGTAGACTGGGAATTAAATTCCTTTCTTTTATTTCTCACCTCCATTGATTTTATTTATTTTAATAAAAAATTTCACTGAAAATATACAAGACGATACACTTACGAAGAAACACACCTTCGTAATTGGAAAACACAGTATGCACTGTAAGCTGCTACGGTGAACGCCACACCGTCAATGTCTTTCTACCTCGTGTGTCGAATGCGGTTAACTCCAAGAAAGTGACGCAGGAATTCTTGGAATTCTATCTCAACAAATATCGTACGGACCGTACGCATATTACACGTTGCGTAAAAATTAATCTACTTCCTTTTTAGATTGTACTATTTATATTTTAAATACAGGGTGATTCAGAACTTATCCAAAAAAAAATTCTGGATGTACAGGGGACCCTTACAAATACAATTTTGTAAAGAAAAAATCAAAAAGGACAGTTCGAAAATGATTTAAAAATACACTTCTGCACGACACTGGAAACTGGTCCACTGTAAAACCTGACCTCGCACAATGCGACCAGCATGGCGGTGTGATAAAAACGGACAAAAACTTTCGCAAGAAAAGAAATAAATGAATTTTATAGCACCCCTATTTTATATCGGCAAATTCAACTGCTTTTGTCTTTATTAATTAATAAAATTAATTTGTGTTTTAATAAAATCATTTGACATACCCGATGTTACAACAATAGTTGAAAATTTTATCCACCAACGTGTAAACACATTTGGGTCCATCTTAATCAGTTTCTACGAACTACTTAACACAAATGTTGTCTAGCCTCACCATAACACAAATGCTTCACGATAATACAAATGTCTTGCTTTACCATAAATTAAAACGATATCCGTCAACTCCGAGTTGCCATACAAACAAACTATTTTTGACACTAACTACTAAAAAACTATTGTAAACACCACAGATCACAGGTAAACATTATCGCAACGACGATTACAATATCGGATTGCAGTATTCGGAGACGCTGAGGCCACGTGGCTCTCCACGGGTATTGCGAATGACGCTAGAGACTACAGTTTTTCAGCTATGTAGTGGTTGAGTGTACCATAACTTCAATAATTTTTTCCTCGGAAACTGTAAGGATTTTGCAAATTTTCTTTTTTACGATATTGACTCCATTTCTCATGCTGCCTCTATTCCCAAATTTTTTTGGATAAGTTGTGAATCACNTCTTGTGGCCTATCTAAATACGAAACAAAAAGCGGACAATTTTTTGCTCACCAAAATCAGGCTAAAGAATTCGCAAATCAGAAAAAAAACAGCGAATTCTTTTGAAGGAATTTACCAAGCTAATACCGTAAGTTTTGAAGTAAAATTAAATCGATTTTCGCATTTCTCGTCAAAAATATTGTTCGTATTTTCAAAGCTACATATTTTCTAAAATAATGGATCGATTTTGAAAAAGTAAGAATGGGCTACCCTGTATATAAAAGTAGACTGGGAATTAAATTCCTTTCTTTTATTTCTCACCTCCATTGATTTATTTTAATAAAAAATTACACTGAAAATATACAAGACTATACAAATACGAAGAAACACACCTTCATAATTGCAAAACACAGTATGCACTGCAAGCTGCTACGGTGAACGCCACACCGTCAATGTCTTTCTACCTCGTGTGTCGAATGCGGTTAACTCCAAGAAAGTGACGCAGGAGTCTTCTTGGAATTCTATCTCAACAAATATCGTACGGACCGTACGCATATAACACGTTGCGTAAAAATTAATCTACTTCCTTTTTAGATTGTACTATTTATATTTTAAATACAGGGTGATTCAGAACTTATCCAAAAAAAAATTCTGGATGTACAGGGGACCCTTACAAATACAATTTTGTAAAGAAAAAATCAAAAAGGTCAGTTCGAAATTGATTTAAAAATACACTTCTGCACGACACTGGAAACTGGTCCACTGTAAAACCTGACCTCGCACAATGCGACCAGCATGGCGGTGTGATAAAAACGGACAAAAACTTTCGCAAAGAAAGAAATGTGTAAATAGGATTTTATAGCACCTATTTTATATCGGCAAATTCAACTGCTTTTGCCTTTATTAATTAATAAAATTAATTTGTGTTTTTAAAGTATAAAATCATTTGACATACCCGATGTTACAACAACAATTGTTCAAAATATTATCCACCAACGTGTAAACACATTTGGGTCCGTCTTACTCAGTTTCTACGAACTAACACACCATACACACACGTCTTGTTTCACCATAATACAAATGTTTTCTTGCTTCACCATAAACTAAAACAATATCCATCTACTCCGAGTTGCTATAAACGAAAGCCATTTTTGACACTAACTACTAAAAAACTATTATAAACATCGAATTTCAGTATTCGGAGTCGCTGAGGCCACGTGGCTCTCCAGGCGTAATGACACTAGAGACTACAGTTGTCCAGTTGAAAGCACTACAACCTCAATATTTTTTTCTCAGAAACTATAAAGATTTTACAAAAATTTTGTTTACAATATCTACTCCATTTCTCATGCCGCATTTATTCCCAAATTTTTTTGGGTAAGTTGTGAATCACCCTGTATATTTTAAAATGCGTTTTTAAGGTATTTTTTAATATATGATATATACAAACATGCACAGAACTACACCTTTTCATGGGATTTAAGGGATTTGTATATGTAAAAAGTTCAAAATTCTCGTTTAATGCAGTTCTATGTGGCGAAAGCAAAATAACCCAAAAATTAGTATGTACAAGTTTACATAACTTTTTTTATGAATGTAGTAACAAAAAAACTAAATCTGCTGACAAGTCTAAGAATATATGTAACATAATTCAGCGAATTATAAGTTCTACATTAATTTTTGGTGGTCCTTGTTTGAATATTGTTGTGTAGGTACTATTAATGGAATTAAAGAAATCCAGGAACTTTACACAGAAATTTTAAAATTTTCAACTGCGAATATTTCATAAATTTTTGTCCACTAACGGCTATTTATCTAAAAACCGCAACAAGCAACAATAATTCCATGAAACTTTATGAAACTCTATATGACAATTTTTGCAAACGTGACACCTCCTGCAAAAAATGTATTCAATATTTTGTCATAACGACGACATATAAAGTTACTTTATTTCCATTGTATTGTGAAATTTACGACGATGTATGAAAGCTATTCGTTTTATCGAAGACAAACGAGAAATATAAAACTTGATTCAAGAGCCAGACATGAATACTTTCAATAAGGACTTCTGTTGTATATTTTTTCAGGTTTTGATTACTTTGAATATTGGGTAATTTTCCTTTTCTACTTTTCCCATAGCTAACATACATATATTTTTATGTTAAAAATATATTAAATGATAGTGTCTCAAAATATTTATTTGTAACATTATTAATTTTCCTTTTATATGTAACAGAAAATTCAAGTTAAAACCATATGGGATCTTTAATTAATTTCAATTTATTAAATGGCAGTTAAATTAAAATCAGCTAAGTGTTATATTAGTTCTGCTTGCCTTTTAAAAGATACAAAATTAAGGAAAAAGCAGTGGATTGAATCCATTGAGTGAAATTATTGAATTGAGTATATTTTCAGTCAATATATTTTGATAATTTTTCATGTTTTTGATAATATTTTAACTTTCACTCATCAAATTTAAGTTATACTCGTACTAAATGAGGAAAATTTTACTCAATCGGATGTGGACAGAAATTGATATAGTATTGAGAGAAATTGAGCGCAATTTTTCATACAGTTACAGTATTAAATTAGAATTACATAGTCCAAACTTATTTAGGACAGTAACATTTCCGTATTTTTTGTTTTAAATCTGCATTAATATACAGGATGTACCGAAATTAATGCAACAAAATTTGGTCATAGATTCTTAAGACAAATTTAGGGGACCAGTATTTTTTATTTTTGCCAAGTGGCCCCCTCTTTTGAAGTTACAGCCCCCTGAAATCCGCCCCTAAGAATAGTTTTGTTTTTATATCTCAGAACCCTGTTGTACGAGAACCACTAAATTTGGTACACAGGCGTCTTATGACATGTGGAATCTGATGGTTGTACGCTTTTTGGCGGGGAACCCCCTTAAGATAATTTTGCGTGGGCCCCTTGTCTTTGGAGCCAAAAAAATTTGGTCAAATATTGAATTTTTTTAATTAATAGTTCGCTAGAAAGCCATGGAATTTAGAAACTTTTTTGTCTCTTGATGTTTTTTTCGTAAAACGCAATGTTTTTGAGAAAATGGCGAATCACGATATGTATTCGATCTATCGATTTGACATTTTTCTCGAAAACATTGCGTTTTACGAAAAAAGCATCAAGAGACGAAAAAGTAGAGCCAAAATACATGGAAGTACTATGGTTTAGCTCGTTGAACATGCCTTATTTGTGGATCAGTGTAATTTTTTAACTGCACCATCTTTGAAAACCAATATCTTAGAAACAAAGACCTCTCCTTTCTGAGGTCTTTGCTTAGAAACCACTCAATTTTGGAGTTTATGGCTACTGATTTTTTTCTTTCTTAGACCGAGTACTACAACTTCGTACACTTTTCACACTTGGACGTTGTGGGCTCAAAGTCCCAAAAGACTTTGGCACCCTTCTTTTTAACAAACGATTCATATTTAAGAAAAAAAGAACAATAAAAACAATAGCATAACCCCCGACAAAGTTATAAGCAAATTAGTTTGTATTTTTCACAGATCTATTAATCCAATTCCTTCATCGACTATCTCATAACGCACCATCTATCTATATGAAAGTATTAATGTATCAAATTTCAATTCTTACGAGGCATTTAAAATTTTTTTTTGTCAAATTGTAGAAGCTTCATATACGCGAAATATCGGAACACCCTGTATAACCGTGTCAAATGTTGTGAAACTATTACCTACGTATTCCTAAAATATTTAATAAGGTTACATTTTTTTTATTTTAACGTTTCCTTAAAATTCATGTAATTCCTCGTGGCACACCCCGTATATCGTAGTTTTCTATTTTTTTTAAATGTCGGATATTCATAACCCGGGACTAGATTTAATGTAGTCACCTCTCAATTTAGACTTTGATATAGTTTCCATGTTTTATTTTAGCATACTTTACCTTCCATTCCGTACGGCTGCAGAACTCTCCTTTCAGTGAGCACGGAGAGTGTGAGAGGGGAGCGAAACATCAACTCCCGCACCACCCCATCACCTCCCTTAAATCTGCCGTCGCCCCCGGAGAAAGGGCGAAGCGTAAATTTTCGAACGTACACCGGATATCGCCGTTCTACAATTTCGACGTCGGTGATCCTGGTGTTCGTCATGTGAGTGTGTACACCGGAACAGCCATGCCAAGAAGGACCCTGAAAATAAGGACAATATTTCTTTTAATAAATAATTGTAAATAGCAGAAAATACGAATACAATAATATTCTGCATTTGGGTTACCGAATTCATAACATTTTTTTTAAGAAAAATCTGAAAAAGACTACTTCGGCGGCTTCAAGGAGCAATTTAAGTCAAATTCAAAATCTTAGAAAAGGTTATCGAAGTGTCAGTCACCACTTATATTTTCTTTTCTGCATGGACACTTTAAAGGAGTTCTATATTAATTTTTGGTGG